GGGTTGTTCTTGTCGGCGGGTTCTTGTGAGTACTTAGGAGGTCCATTAGCGAAAAAAAGCCGAACATGGTCAATGACACACACCTCGCAAACACACGCAAGCTCGATCGCAAGCTCTGACGGCGAACCAGGTAATCAGATATGAGCATTTGAGCTTCCAGGACCCCAGAAGTTCCCGAACCTCACCAGTACTTGCGAAAACTGCGCGTGCACAAGCCCGCGCAAGGGACGCGCAAGGGCGAAATGCAAGGGCATAACCAGAAGAAGACTTGTAATAAGAATCGTCATAGCCCGAATAATAGTGAGTCGACCGCTTTGGGGGTGCCAGGCTGGCCCTTGTTTAGGGCTTAGGGCCCTGGATAATGTTTGTTTCCTCTATTGAAGATTGATGAGGCAAGCTTAGGAACAGTTTTCAGACGCTTTCAAGGTCCAAGCGAGGATAGGATCCATCCTGTTTGCTTCCGGAAGACCCCCGTAGAGCCGCTTCTTTGTCCTGGTAGCCCAGTGGTACCCTTTACTCTTGCTTTTTGGTTCTGGGTTCCCTTACAAAGTAGCCAACCAAAAAGGGGTGCCCTTATTATCGTATGTTTACTGGGCTACTAAGTGGTCTTGATTGTACTCTCCTAAACACACTAAACCCTAAACCCTAAACCATAAATTGCCGAGGTGACGATCTGCGCTTCATCCCTGCCTTACTTCTGCAGCCATGTACCTTGGCCTTGTCTCTGGAGGAATCTAAAACCATAGAACCCCTAGAACCCCTTGCGGGGGGGGGGATGAATGGGAAGATTCAAGGGTTTAGGGTTTAGAGTTTAGGGTTTAGGGTTTTTGGAAGACTAGGCGGGGGAAGAAGCCCGAAAGCCCAGGGGCAGGGGTTTTGCCAACCCCAAAAAGGGTGCCCTTATAGGCTACCAAGAAACCCTACCCCCCCCCCCCCCCCCCCCCCAAAAAAAAAAAAAAAAACAACGGATAAAACAAAACATAGAAACAAAAGAAGCAGAAACGGATTCCGAAACAGGTGGGTGTGTCATCGCCGAGGCGCGCTTGGGGCTTTGCGCCAGCTCTGGGGGGCTTTAGGGTTTAGGGCCTCAAGGTTCTTCGGGTTGAGAAATATGGAACCCCCCCCCCTCCCCCCGAAGCAAAAAGACAGTTGCCTCTGGTTAGAGCTGTGTGTCTTCAGATGACGGCAGATGTTGGATTTAAGCTTGCTCACAGCTGGATGCTTCTACTCTTGTGCGGGTCAGAGCTTAGCTCAAGCTTGACCCCAGATTGCTGAGGACCTAGACAGCTGTACTCAGCTGTACTCTAGAATGTTTCTTCAGGAGATATGCTGTAGTTGTTTAGAGCATCTTTAGAAGCAACAGTTGGTTGGGGATGTCGTAGGCAGAAGGGTTGAAGAAAACGATGAGCACCTTTCGGCTCTATTGGAGCATGTTCCTTACCTCCACAAGGTTACCCCAATGCCGGCAACCCATGTGCGCCCATGCAAGGGACGCCAGTGTAGACGTTGGGTGGGTTGCGAACGCACAGAACCCTAAACCCTACACTGGGTAGGCCCTTGCGATATTTCATATGTTCCCTTATTGGGTTTATGAGGATCACATGTAGGAGTAGTTTTTTTGAGGGTCTACAGGGCCAACCTAGTTAAAGGGCTTGGAGTTTAGGGTGTTAAGGTAAACCCTAAACCCTAAAGCCTAAACCCTAAACCCTAACCCTAAACCCTGCAATTTGCTGTTTTTTTTACCACTGGTGCTGATGCCGATGTCCGAGGCAGCTGCAAGGCTCAGCACAGGTCAGGCCTGCGAGGCCCGCACCGTTCCCTAAACCCAGAGCCTTACAAACCCTAAGCCCGGGGAGGGTTTAGGGTTTAGGGTTTAGGGTTTAGGGTTTAGGGTTTAGGGTTTAGGGTTTAGGGTTTAGGGTTTAGGGTTTAGGGTTTAGGGTTTAGGGTTTAGGGTTTAGGGTTTAGGAGGGAGTATAGGGGGTACTAAGGGGGAACATCCCAACCTAAACCCTGCAAACCTTATAAACCCTAAATCCTAGACCTTATAAACCCAAAGCTCTAAACCCTATAAAATGTTTTTCCTAAACCGTATGATGATGAACCCTAACCCTAATAAACTCTAAACCCTATAAGCTCCTAATTCCGCGACCTGATTATTATAAAACCTAACCCTAATGGCAAACCCGAGTTTGGCTTTCGGGGGTTGCGGGTTCCAAGATATATTATAGAGTTCGGAACAATTCAGTATTCCCTTTTGGCCCCTACAGAATTATACGATAAGAACCCCCCAAGACCCTATTCTAATTGTTAAGGCTCCTATAGTAGGCCTAATCTGACGACCGAGAGGTTTATGATTCTCATGGCGAAATTACTATCAATCCTTGCTTATGTAAGGTTCTTACCATCGGTCGATGTTCGACATGTTTTCCATATCCTTAGGCTGAGCAAGTTGGCACTCAAGCTGATTGTCCGTCATAACTGCTGTGGGCAGCCTCAGGGCAATGATGCACCCTAAACCCTAAACCCTAATGTTGCACCCGCAACATTCTAGGGGGACGCTATTATGAAAAGTTTTCCGGCTATTCAGGATCTGGACCCTCTGTTTTGGGGGTCCGCAATAATGAAAAGATTTCGGGCCGGGCCTGTTTTTTTAAATGGTTTTTGAGTCAAGTTCCCAGATCCCAAACTAAGAAGAGAGCTCATTTCTCTGCCCCCCCCCCCCCCCCCCCGACTGTTTGGGGTCTTTTTTTATTCAGGGTCGCGACTGTTGAGGGCGGGGGGGGGGAGGGGGGGGGGTAACTTATTAAAGCAGGTCCAACATTAAACCCTAAACCCTAAAGATGCCAATGGACTCGAGAGAAGCCACTGCCCCACTGCTTCTGTAAGGGTGAACATGAACGGACCCAGTGCTTCAGCCAACGGCCTGGGCTCTGCGCATGCCGCCATTCATCCTTAAACCCTAAACCCCAAACCCTAAGCCCTAAACCCTGTTGCGTTTGGAAACACAAATTAGCGGCTGACGTGCACGACCAATCGGTGGCCCTACTGGGTCAGCCTTTGGAAGAATAGGATGCTAGCTTTGCTGCGACTATTCTTTTCGGAGTTCGTCTCCCTTATTTTAACACCCATCAAGTAAGCTTGACAGACAGTTGGGACATGTTTTGGCTTGCGTGACTGGTGAGCCTAGAGGATTTTGCTCACCATTGCAGAATCGAAGCCATCCGAGACTTTGTCTTGAAGCCGCAAACCATGTGTCATCTCCACAGAACTGAGGCTTGGGATGCTCTGGGATTCAAGGTGGGGTTCAAGGTTTAGGGTTTAGGGTTTAGGGTTATAGGTATGTGAAAACCTTTACGTGCATTTGTTTTTTTGGGGTCACCGCCTGTGGCAGACAGTCAGACGTCGCCAGGCCTGTGGGCGTGGGATATCTACCTCCGTGCGGGCTTCAGCTGCCAGGGTCTGGGAAGTCCGGGCAAGCTTTCTCCAGGCTTTGGGTGGTCGAAGTCATCGGACTTCTGAGTTAGGAGCTCAGTGTGCTGATGATAGCTTCCATAGCACCACTCCGGAATTCTCCAGGGTGACTGCCTTTTGAATCGCCCGAGACTTCTCTTTACAGCCCTAAAGCGCCGAAAGCCCAAAGCAGTTAATCCTGCGAATGGTTCAGCACTCGATCTAGAGACCCTGTCCCTGCAAGCCAGGGCGAGCGCTCGCTGTAAAGCAGTCAACCCCAAAACTTAGAATCCAAACTCTCAAAGCTCTCAAAGCCAACCAAGCCGTGTATGTGATGATTGTTCACTCCCGGAGTTGATGGTTTCAGGGCTGTTCGGGATTTCGAAGTTTTGGGGGTTTGGGGTTTGTCGGCTCTTGAGGTCGCGCTGGGGGCCAAAGCGCCCGCAGCCAGCGCGCCCAAGGGGCTGACAGATGAAGGCCATGGGAGAGGGTGCCAGTTTGCCGGCCTCAGGGATTAATAAAGAATTCTAAGCTTCATCCTAAGCCTCAGAACCTTGAACCCTCAATCCCTAGTCCCGTCAGTTGGGCTTTGGTGGGCTTGTCAGTGCTTCAGGGGCATGAGAGGGACGGTGCTAGTGTCAACGGCCCTAATGATCCTAAATCTATGTCGCACTGCAGCCTGCCTAGGCAAACCTGGCAAAGAATCAAGAACCTCTGAAATCATGTTAAGTCTACCCCCTTCTCCCCAAGCTTGCAGGCCGCCATGAGTCTTTCAGGCCTTGAATGGAGCTCCCACAATGCCAAGACCCTTTTCGAAGCCCCCAACACCCAGTCGGTTTCTTGGAACCCAACTTCGAAGACTGCCCCAGGCCGCAGCCGCAGTAGAAGCCGAGGGCATCAAGGGCGGGCGGGGAGAAAAGAGAGCCTCTGCAGGGCGTTTGGTGTTCAGGGTTTAGAGTTTGACCACGTGTTCCGGACTTTGTGCTTGCTCGTAGAAGGGATGGCCCGGCCCCGTCACAGAAAAGTAACAAAAGACAAGCTTGAGTATTTCTAGCACCGCCGCAGTTCCTCTGACAAGGCATCGCTTCTCCACCTGAGCCCGATAAACCCTCCTAAACCCTAAACCCCAGACCCTAAACCCTAAACCCTGTTGCCGACCCTGTGTCAAGGGTTTGTTGGAACAGCTGGGGGAGCCTGAGCCAAGGCGGCACGGTGTGTCATCACCTCCTTTGAACCCCAAGTGCTTCGACTCTTCAGGAAGTTTCTGGGTGGGCCCTTGGGAGATTTTGTATTTTCCCTTTTGCAGGAGTAGTTTTCAGAGGCACTTTAAGGGCCATCCTAGAATGTATAAGCCTTGTGAACATCCTGCAGCCATGATTCTGTTATGCATTGAGAAAGCGCCGAGTCCGGTTTTAGATTTTGAGTTTGCATTACATTGGCGCAGTGCGACGGGCAAGAATTTCTAAATGCTGAACACGGCACAGCTTTACATGTATTTGCACGTGTGATTCTCACCTGCGCATCACTCACGAGCGTGCGTGGGGCTGATGGAGTGCCCATGGGAAAGAGGTGACGACCTTCCTTTCGATGAACCTGTGGACGACTTGTCATGGCTGCCGAATGTGCTAGACGAGGACAGGAGATCGGAGAACTTCAGCGATGTAAGCCCGCATTCCATGGACCTCGGGCGTTGTTCATTCATGGGTGGAGCTAGGGGGGACGAGTTCGGGGACAGTCCGCCCTACTGGTCTGAGCCCAGCGAAACCGAGATGAAAAGGGCGGCGGTGCGGCAAGCGAGAAGACTGCTTGCTAAGAGCTGTACACTGGCGGAGAAGTTGGGCGACTTGGCTTTGGGACGCCTCACTATCCTAAGGAGCAGGAATCTTCCGTCAGGGATTCAGCGATTGATTTGTGACTTCCTTCCTTTGCCGGCACAGGAGCTTCAAGGCCACCGGATGTTGGGATTACATACGGGGCTGAAGCTCTTCTTCCACTCGATGGCTTCGCTGCCCGCAGGTCGGCTGATGTGTACTTCCGGCAGCAGCCTGAGTCTTAAGGGCGCGGAGCTTTCCTTAGCTGACTTCTGCGCTCGCCTCGGTTGCCCAATCTCTCCTTCAGCGCCTGTGGCTGTTGCCACAAGCTCAGAGGAGTTGCTGGTTTTCGGATGATGAGCCCTTTGTGCCTGTGCCGAATTCGCTGTCCTGGTTCCGGGCGATGTCACCCCCGCAACATCGACGACCTCAGGTTCTACGAACTGCTGGAGAGCTCAGACTGGGAGGAGAACATCTTGTTGAGGAGTCTGACGAGGATGATGATCTTCCCAGCAGCGAAATGTTTCCGCAAGATGCGCCTGTCAGCACAAGGCGAGCACCAAAGCCAAAACAGCGAGTTGAGGTGAAAGACTCAGATGTTCAAGCCAACTGCCTGCAGTCTTTACCTTTGGATAGTCGGCTGTTTGCCCTGGCCGGAATGGATCACGCAGACCCTGGCTCGGACATCAGCTCCGTGGACATCGGCGCTTCTGCGAGTTTGGGCCGGGGGGTGATCCACAACCTGCTCTGCAAGGGTGCCAATCCCTGCGTGCACTTCCCTGATTCCACCGGAACAGTCAGAACTGCTGGTGAAAACGCAGCGCGTGCCAGAGATTCATCACAGCAACGTATAGATGATCTACTAGCTCATAGGCTTTGCCATCACATGTGCTGCGACCACATGTTTGCTGGCACGCCCGAAGAGGCAAGGCGCCACGCAGGGGTTCTCCTGGATGATCTCGCTGCGCTGGAGGAACACGTGGCCCTCCTTAAAGCAGCTGCACAGGTTTGGAGCAAAGCAACTCCTTCAAAACACATGCTGTGCTCTACGAGCTACCTCTACGGTCGTGGGGTGCTTCTGCCAGATTTTGGTGAGCTTCATGCTGCTTTAGCTGCAGTTCCCTCAAAACGGGTACCCTCAAGCGAAGACATCCAGGCAGTGGCAGATGCACTGAGGAGCCTGGCAGAGGCAGAGAGCAAGGAGGACCGAAGAAGTCAGCTGGAGCTGTGCTGCCCAATTGCTGAGCAACTCGGTAAGCCCTTGGCCCTTGGCACATTTTATGTTTTCTTTTGTTAGGGTTGAAAAGGGTCATATTCAGGAGTATTTTTCAGAGATACCTCAAGGGCCATCCAAGGCAATGTACCATGAAAGTGGAGGATGCCAGGTCACAAGCATTGAGGGAGAGCTTGCAGACTCACGTGTGGTGCGATGGATACCAGTGTGGGATGCAACCAGTGGGTGCCTTCAGCAAGACGCAGTTGCTGAAGCGAGCAGGGCAGATGCGCAGATGTAAGCAATGCCTGACGAGCAAGAGACCTCGTCTAATTTGAAACACGGTCCTGAATCCTGATGTTGCGCAGCAGGCATTGAATTAAATCCCAATCTCTGAGCCATATAAGCCCTCAAATCTCAAATCATGAGCCCTGATCGGCCCCGATCCCAAACCCGAATCGCCCATCCCTGAATCTAAACCCTAAACCGAATCCCCAAACCCGAAACTCTTTATACCCTATAAACCCAACACTCTTTAAACCGCAAACTCTTTAAACCCAAACCCCAAAATCAAAGCATGGGATGAATCCTATCAACCTTGCAGTGGCATGTAGCTTTTTTTCGGCCCGATCGAATCGAAGGGTCCCAGGGCGATAAGAAAACGCAAGCGTGGAGGAAGTATCGTCTGGGAGGTTCTGTGGTTTCAGGATTTTGGCTCTAAGGCGCTTTATGGGGTTTTAGGGACTTGGCGGTTTAAGGTCTGTACGCGCAGGGTCTAGGGCTCTTAGGGTGTCTTTTGTGTTTAAGGGGTTTAGGTGAGGGTTTAGGGTATTCAGCTCCCGCTACCCGCACCGCAAACAAGCTACTGGCAGCTTTGTCACGCATCGTTGAACTTTTGCTGGGCAGCCATGCAACATGGCCTTTGCCCATAGACCATGGAAGACTACTACCAACTCCTCGGCGTGGACCCCTCGGCCTCCTCCAAGGAGATTGGTAAGGCCGCCATGCCCTGAGGTTTTAGGGTTTAGGGTTTAGGGTTTAGGGCTTAGGGTTTAGGGTTTAGGTTTAGGGTGCTCACTAAGCTCCTCACACCCCGGCCCTATTTTGGTGCCCCAAACTTGAGGCCCTAAAGGCCTAATCTGGGGCTGATGTTCTAGGGTTTAGGGTTGAGGGCTCGTAGTATGGTCCTTTCCCCTTGCTTCTAGGGATCCGAAGGAAGGGCCCTTTTTACGTACAGTGTATATAAGGGTTAGATAGCAATGGGCCCAAATGAAGGGCCCATACTTCGGATCCCCTAGCATGGGCCCTAACCCCTCAAAAGCCCTTGATAAAAGTTAAGCTGATAGGGTCCCAAATCCACCCCCAAAGAAGAAACACCAAGCCACAGCCCCAACCGCTAAACCTTTGCTTCTAGCAGCGTTCGGGCGAGGGGAAGGAAAGGAACCCCCTTCAAAGCACTAGATCCATGGATGCGATGGCCAGTTTCAAAGGCTTGTGGGAAGGTTGCCTCGACCTGCCACAAGCCTGGCTTTGCTTGCTGTGTAAAGATGCCGAAGGGTTCCGACGTCCACACAGCTCGTCTTAAGATTGTGGGTATGCATGTCTTAACCCTCACCTTCACCAGACCCTTAAGCCTCTACGCGCGAACTCTGAATCCTAAACGTTAAATTACCCTGAACCCTAAACTCTAAGCTTAAACCCTAAACCCTAAACCCTAAGCTCAGCCCACGCGGGAGTGTTGATCGCAGGCCTTCCGCCAGAAGGCGCGGCAGACGCACCCCGACAAGCTCCCGCCGGGCAGCTCCGATGAAGCGAAGCTTCAGGCAAAGCACCGCTTCCAGCAGGCGGACATCCATACGGATTGTACAATTTTGGCGGGGCAGGGTCTAGGGTTTAGGGCTTATGGGTTTAAGATTTAGGTTTAGGATTTAGGGTGCAGCTGGGGGTGCCCCCCCCCCCCTCATTTTCAGGAACACAACCCTCAATTAATGATTTCAAAAAGCCCCCCCTCAAACCCTAAACCCGGTAGGATGTCGGCTTTCGGAGTTCTGAAGCCCTCGAGGTGGCCAAGGCCTGGGAGATTCTGGGCGACGACCAGCAGCGCCTCGTTCCCGAAAGCTTCTCGGGGCTTTTTGTTTGGATCGAGGGTTTAGGGTTTAGGGTTTAGGGTTTAGGGTTTAGGGTTTAGGGTTTAGGGTTTAGGGTTTAGGGGCTACGAGATGGTGATGGCTTGTTGGGCCGATTGCAGGCTGCCCCCAACACGAGATAGCCAATCTGCCTAGGCATCTTGATTGCGGTCTTGTTGAGTTTAGCCATCCCCTCCACCCTCATGTTACTCCACCGAATAGCAAACTATGCTGAAGGTCCAGTGTATACGCAGTAGCGATGTTGGTAACTCTACCACTTCAACTATATCTATATATATATATATATATATTTCGGCGGTATACCATACCATGAAATTACATGGTACGATGCTCTACGTTCCATGGTGCTACAACGGTGTCCACGCTTCAGCGGCTCAAGGATCGGAGCATTCTTCAGCCTAGCTGCCCTGCAGAGCTGTAGCTGCAATGCCAGCGATCCGCAATGGCCAACTTCCGCTACCAGCACAGCAGGGCCAGAAACACGGACTGTCTGCAGCCAAAAAAGCGACAATTTCATTTGTTTTGGTATCCTTTGCAGTGGTGTACTGCATGCCAGAATTTGTGCAGGGTGCCGTCCTCTGCTTGCTGTGGCTGGCATGCGTCGGCGGGCTTCAAGTTGCACGTTTCCAGGTTGTTCCCGCCAGTCGCCCGTTTGGCAGCGCGCTTGAGTCAGCACGATGGCACATGCAGAGAAAAGACTACCGACAGGCACACACTGTCCTCCGACAGTGCATTGATTTGGCAGAAATGGGCGACGTTTTCTCTGCGGCTGCGGAATGCGCTTTCCAGATGGGGCGGCATGCAGAAGTCAAAACTCTGGCAATTGCCAGTAACTTATGGCAAGACACGGTGCCTCTCATTGATTGCACTGCTCCACCAGGCCAGCTTGATGTCGACTCCTGTGCGATGCTGGAAGAAGCTGCCAAACTGCATGGGAATGCATCTTGCCCCAATCTCCAAGCTGCGCTTGATTTGGTCAAGGGCCGCTTGGCTCATGCACAGCGGTTTCCATATGTGTGGCAATACGTTGACGACAGCGGCAAGTGGGTAGACATGTGTGCAAAGCTTTGTTGCGCCCTGGAGATCGGGTATCAAAGCTTTCAAGCAGATCCATCGGTGCCACCTTTGGTGCTAGATGGCCGAGTGTATGACTTTGCGCAGATGCAGCAACGCAACGTTGGCACAGCTCGGACAAGACAGTTGCGTCGATTCATCCAAGGAAGTGGAGGGGGAATTTTCATGGAGTTTGAAGACTTACTCTCCTACATCAAGAACATACGACTACAGCTGAAGCGCCAAGACGAGAAGGCCCACGAGCAAGAGAAACAGCTCGGCGAAAGATCGGAGAAGTTGCAGCAGTGGGAAGAACGACTCGCGAAACGGGAGAAGTCACTCGAGGCTAGAGAGGAAAGTCTTGATGAAGAAAGGAGGGCCTTGTCAAGAGACCTTGTACGTGATCACGTCATTTTGGGATTGCGTGAGGAGCTCGAGAGTTTTCGGCAGCGAAGGCAGGAACCCTCCAGGAAATTGTTCAGGCTGAAATCTCGCCCGCTCATGTTGTTTGAGGATGATGCTTTGACAGCCAGGGTGCAGAAGATTTTGGTTGACACGGCAGCTGCTCACAATGCGCCCTTCAAAGGCCAAGTCAGCAAGTGCCAGGCCATGTCGCAGGCCACGATTCGGCGCGTGCGGCGGGTGGTGAACCCAACCTTGTGGAACCGGTATGATGCAAAGAGGCGTGAGATAGGGTCTGTGTGCAATATCACGCCAGTTCAACAAACACCAGCTCTGCAAGTTCTGCAGGAAGTAGCCCATGGCAGGCTTGGAGGGCAGAAGTCCGGGCAGCTGTACTGGATTGATTGCAACGCTGCTGTGAATGAAGTGTTGCTTTTCCATGGCACACAGCTGTCAAATGCTGAGAAGATTGCTGAAACGGGCTTCGACAACAGCCGGATCAGCTTTGGTCTTTATGGTAAAGGCTTTTACTTTGCTTGCGAGTCGTGCAAGTCGTTTCAATACACCGGAAACGGTGGAACGCCATCTGGGGGCATGGTGATATGTCGTGTCGTGCTTGGCCAGCCGACATATGTGCGTTCGCAGCACAATAATGCCTCATCGGGTGAGGTGTTGGACTCGAACTCCCACTCAGCAGTAGTTTTGCCTGGTCCGCTGGGTGGTCCGGCAGGTCAACAGCATCAGGAGTTTGTTGTTTTCCATGCATCACAAGTGTTTCCAGAGTTTATTGTTGAGTTTGAGGGAGTATAAGCCGGCCTCGCTGCTATGAGGCGGTATGAGATTTCCACACACAATGGTCACATTGCGGAGGCAATGATTCATGGGACATGAACATTGGCGGTGCTCCCCAGCCAAAAGCGCTGCAAACTAAAAACTGACGTGCATGTGCGAAAAAGCAGGACCTCGGCTTGGTTGTGGTTTATAGGCAGCCTTCAACAAGGGCCTTCTTAAGAGCAGCCTACGCTGATTTCAAAACACTCCCCTGCGCCAAGGCGTGCTGCCTACGACAACGACCGGGCCGCGGATCGCGCAGCGGGCGCGGCGCGCTCTGAGGAGGGGCCGAGTCTTGGGGTGTGGGGGCCGGGTTTAGGGTTTAGGGCCTTTAGGGTTTAGGGTTTAGGGTTTAGGGTTTAGGTTTAGGGTTTAGGGTTTGGGGTCCTCCGTCACCCTGAGGCATTGCTGTTAGGCAGTGAAGCCCAACACCCGCAAACCCTAAGCCCGGTAAAGCCGGCAAGCCTCCACAAGCCTGGTCTCCCCACCCTAAGTGCCCCTGAGCTATGCAGCCCTAACTTTAGCCCCTAGCTACCCCGCATAACCCTTCATTATCCCTAAACCCTGAACCTTAAACCCTAAACCCTAAACCTTAAACCCTATAAACCCTCTAACTCCTATAAACCCTATAAACCCTATAAACCCTATAAA